ATGACCATGAAGATGATTTATTTATATATTTATTTATATACTAGAAGAATGCCCGGCTTCGCTCGGGGGTCATAACTCCGAAACCGGAAGTGGTAGACTAACGCCACCTGGCCTATGTTACTCCCCGGTATGAGCTACCCCTATACCCCAAATGACAACGTGAATGATGGATCAGTCGAACGACAGAGTGAATGACAGGAGTTTTCCAGTCGAATAATAAAGATAATGGCAACGCTGGTCATAGCATATCTGTTTATAATATATTTCATATAAATGTTTATACACGTATTTGAAAAATACATTTAGGTCTACGTGTAATGTTGAATGTATAAATTCGGAAATGTTTTGATCTCTTGAACTGTATTATTTAAAATACACGATTAACGTATTAAACTGTAAATAATGAATCAAGCCAAGACATGTATTAAATGTTTTAAATGTTTTATTGAATTGGAATAGAAACTGAAAACAGATTAACACCCTGTGTGAGATATTTCATTCAAATATTGTGAAAGGGTTGGTAATAAAATTAAAATTGTCATTGTGTCATTTTAATAACATTGAATCGTCCTATTCTGTTACGTAGTCGTCTCAACATATTGTTGTCATGGGTTACTTCTGCTAAACAACTCAATAGAAACGAGTAAAGTATTATAAACGAAATTATGTCTAAAGAGTTCTTCATGACATGTATTGACTGTAAGACACAAAGCGTACAGGATCTAAGTGTGATGTTAAAGGTCAACACGTAACTAGTGAACTGATAAATATTGTACAATTTATCTAAAGAGTACATTTATGAAAACGTGGTACTTTTCTGATATCTAGTTAAATTAACACTTACCCAGATCTTGGCATAAGCATGACTTAAAATGATCACGGCTAAAACACTTCCGTGCGAATCAAGAATTCTTTGTGTAAGAATAGAGCTTTATAAGACCGTAAATGCACCACACATTATGTCTCCATAAGATGGTAGCTATATCAAACTTAAAAATGACGATTATCCGAAAAATCGACCATTTTAGGGAAATTCTGGCCGCCATTTTGAATTTCCGCCATCTTGGATTTTGGAACCCCGTTATATTAAGATTAATTTTAAGTTTAGTGACACTGAAAATCCTTTAAATTACATATTATAAATCATATCAAAGAGTGAAATGACTTTTATCTGACAAATCAGCCATTTTAGGTAAATTTTGGCCGCCATTTTGAATTTCCGCCATCTTGGATTTGGGGAAACTAGTTTTAGAGATTATTTTTTCAGTTCAATTACTAAAAAACCTTATATATGATATATTACAAGCCATACCTTGCGTGATAATCACCCATACTATCTGGAAATTAATTTTTCGTCAAATTCTGGCGGCCATTTTGGAAATCAGAAAAAACCCAACCGAAAATGACGTCACAGAAGTAAAATAATCTCATAATCGTCTTCAGTGACAAATTTTGCCTCAGAAACAACCCGACCCCAAATTTTGTTCCGATTGTGACACTCCTAATAAGAGTAGGCGATAGTGCCGCTTTCCCTCATAGCCCAGTATAGGAGCAGAACAGTATGACGTTAAACCCCATTTCATTTCATTTCGTTTGTCCTTAAAGGGACTATCCCGATTTGAACATAGTCTTAAAAATAAAAGTCTGAGTACGTATGAAATTTAAGCGCCAAAATATAGAGGAATGCTGCCTTTATCTTGTTTCAAAATTACAGCTCAAAATATTGAATCGTTTGGACGTGAACGTCAAAACTGCTTATCCGGACACGTAACCCGTTTAGGATTTTTTTGTTGGGTGACCTGATGATCGATTTTCGTTCCTTTAGAGGTCTATACAATGAATTACCCATGTGCTGTACTTCATAACGAAAGGTAAATTTCACCTACACATTATTTTTATAAAATAAAGGTCTGGTTTTATCTAGACATCGCATAATGCAGCTTGGGACACCCATCTCCATTTCCAGATGAAGACTGGCGGGTTTAAGTTGTTTGAAAACGTATCACATATATTGAGTTAGTTGTTCGGCCCTAAGGTAGAGGATTTTATGGGATTTTAACACAAAATTAAGCAGATGAAGACTGGCGGGTTTAAGTTGTTTGAAAACGTATCACATATATTGAGTTAGTTGTTCGGCCCTTAGGTAGAGGATTTTATGGGATTTTAACACAAAATTAAGCAGTTTTATTCTCCAATATATTATCGGGATTGTCCCTTTAACCACACCAAGCCTTGACTTATGGAAGGGTATTGCTGCCAATATAAAATGCTTTGCTACATTGTATTTTCCATTGATTATATGTAAAAAAGTACAATGTACCAAGTCTTAATACCGGTAAAGATAAAGTCAAAATACCTCTAAGGCAAGAGTTAAATGTAAAACGTCAAATGTTAAGTGTCAAATGACAAATGTTTTTGACGTGTCTACATTTTACATTTCTTCCATTACATTTTACATTTGCGCTCTGCCACATCCCATTTGTCCATCACGCTTTCTACATTGCATCTTTCGCACAGCATCAACTTCAATATACAAATGTAGGATATCATATGACTTATTAAAATATACGGAAACCTGGCACACTATAAACCAGAACAAGGATATTCACGACACTATAACAGGAAATCAGCTTAGCACACAATAATAAATTTGCTTACATACTTACACTTTGGATGGTACTACCATAATTACGGGCGCGGGGGAGGGGGCTGTGCAATGCCCAATACGAAATTCCAGGTATCATGTTACATATCAGTGAAAAGCACGTTCACTTCTATATGTAAATAGTTTTCTAGTACAATCGAATTTTCATAATTCAAATCCAATAAACATCACAAACTAACGATGCCTTCTAGAGTTGATTATTGTCTGGTGGATTAGTTAATTTGCCTTATCAACAATTTAGATAATATTTAAGGCCTAAAGAAAGAACTGCAATAGACAGATTTAGCTCTTGAATAATGCATGTTTAAGCGACTGCATGTCGGGGGGGGGGGGGATTCAATGTTAAAATACGAGTCTTGATACAAAAAAATCCAAAATGTTACCTCTTTTCAAATATGTAAATAATTTTCTGGCGCATTCATACTCCCTGAAAAACGACCAAACAAATTGGGGACGACGGCATAATACGTCCACATGAAAATGTGGGCGTATAAAATGAGCTATTTACAATGCATTCAGGCTTTTCATATTTTAAAATATTTATTGACAACTTTCATGAACCTGTAGCATTAAGCCATACGATGACAACGTATGTCAAAATTAGTTTGTAATTTAAGTTGTTGCCGCGAAATGGCCAATTTTGCATGAGTCACCGGAAATGGCGTCATATGGGCAAAATCTGTACTTTTAGCCTTCAAAACAAATATTTTATTTAACTGCGTCGTATTAGTAATTTGTTTATAATGAAGATATTTGCTTCCAATCAATAAATAGACTGAACCGATGCGATCATATAGATATCACAAAATGGTTTCCAACTTCTTCAGTTGCGGAGAAATAGATTATTTTCTACAAGTCGCTTTTGGTCCATATTATTCGATTTTCATAATTTCCTTAAACTGATATAACATTTTCATTGTCAACGGAAGTGATGCCATTTTGGCAAAAACTGTATAAGCAACCTTATATAGTTATACCCCTTAACCAAAATACGGTGTGATTACGACACAGTTTTTAACAGATATTTTTATTATTTGGTGTGAAGCAGTGGGTTCCGCAGCGCTTAGAACTGAATGCGTTAGAGGCAATTTTTTAAATTAAGTATGCGCCACTGGAGTGGGAACCCTATCGACATTCAGCGATCCGTGACATTCCGTTCCGAACTTACCTATTTTCCGAAAAACATTTTTTAAAACAGATTAGGGACAAGGAGACGACGAGCCCTATCCATTACCTTTTTTTTATTTAATTATTTCTGTAGTTTTGTAATCGGAGTTCAGCTTTAATTTCAAAATTGAAATGGCCAATTATGCATGCATTTTTATTGTTTCTTTGAAGCTTATATAAGTATGTACAAAAGTTTTCGCTTTATCGCATTCTACTAGTGGATCAACTAGATATGACTAATATTGGAAAGAAGGGTTCGTGGGCAAAAAAGGTCTCCCTCGAGCACATTTGTTTTTCCTCTTAAGGGCCCTGGGAACAACATTTCCATGTAGTCGTTCGGCGAAAAACAGATCCCGTGAACACAGTTGGAATTCGAAAGAAGAGTAGACCGTTGCGCTGATGTCCGGGCAAAATTTCAGCCATAACACACTGCATGACCGACGCCCTTCTTCATTAGTCCAGTAGAAGCAGAACAATAGGGCGTTAAACCCCATTTCATTTCAGTTTGATACAGCACGAGTAATCATGGAAAGTTCCAGTCATCCAGAAATTATAAATGGAGTATCCTTGGACAAATCTCAAGATATACTAGCTGAGGTATACTATTCGATTTCCAATTTCTTTCTTTGCATTTAAGATCCATTTGCTGTAATGCCGACTTCCTTAATATATAACTGGGTGACATAGTTTCCTTGTTAAACATTTGTGAACAGATTTGTCTGTGGCGTTTTATGTCCGAGAATCTGACAGGAAAGTATGCCAGTATATCGTATTCCAGTCAATAAAATTAACTGGCGTTAATAGATGATTTTGTAATGCTGAGTGGGCCGATATTTTTATTGCCCCCCCTCCCCCTGGGAAAATATGTTTGTATGCCCCTGTCAGTTGGTGCAAAATGTAAGGAGGACGTTAAATTTCATTTTTACTTTTACAGAAGAAGATTGAAGAAAATGATATAATAATATTCGAAGTAAATAACGAAGGAGAAATGATACGGCAAATGGACGTCCTGAAAACAGATTATTGCTTATTTTCGTGTGATGATGAAGATAGTGAAGACGAAGAAGAGTCCACTTATACCTGTTGCCGATGGTACAACCGTTCCCACACAAAACTAAAGAATTATGTTAATACGTATTCAAAGGTACTAAACGTTGCCTACAAATCTGTAGTTTTAATTTTGTATCTTATGTACTTTGGCTATGCCATGTACTGGCGCTTTGGGGACGAAGGCTCAATACAGCTCCTAGTTTGTACCGTTTTAGGAATCTTAATCATTTTCCATAAGATTATTCAGAAGAAAGAATGTGGCAGTTGTATACTACTTGTGGTGCCTAATCCTAAAAAGAAAGCATGCTATGCAAGATGGTATGTATTCATATTGACTATTCAGCACTATAAAAAGTACATGTATTGTACATACCTTTTGAGGCAAAAATGATAAATCTGAAATCGTGTGAGCGAGACGACTGGATAACCATGCATGGCCGAATAATTGGAATTTCTTTGAACCTATCATTGGCTTAATGGAAATCAAACATACCACCGTAGTATGAGGCTATAGTAAAACGAAACGAATTTTAATTTTAGAAAGCTGTATAAACTGATTGTGTTAAAGATACTTCCCCACAAAAGTATTATCCGCTGGTTATTTCCAATAAAAGTATGGCAATTTTGGTATATATGGAAAGAAAAAAACACCCAATCATACGAGAAAGATACTGGATTCACTGCAAAGCCCCCATGGAGCGTACACAGGACAAAAATGAGAGGGTGTCACTAATTGAGTGCTTGAGATTAAGGGTGGTAGGCTCCAGTGACGTCAAAGGTTGCACGCGTAAATTGTCTGGCCTCTTGGCGGTAGGAAGCGCTTTATGTACATGTTGATAAACGTGATGGTGAGCGGATGTGGAAAAAGTGAGAGACTTAAACGTACAACAGTTTCCAAGATAAAAAAAAAAACACGGTACCGCGACAACCAGGTCACCTGACACATAGATTAATAGATTTTTATAGCTTGGGGTATTTCCTCGTGAAAACAATGTTTTGAGAGGGAGAAAGAGAGAGAGAAATGGGGTTTAACGTCCACTCGACACAAACTAGGTCATTTCGGGACTAACATATGGTTTAATTTTGGGAGGGATTTAAAGCACATTTTTGATAGATTAGTGAGTTTGAATATGTTTTGACAGATCACCCAGCTCGTACACCGGGAAGTTATCTTTAATTTATCAATTTGTGTCATTTTTTGTTAAATTTCCACAGGTTCTTATATGTTGCAATGATAACATTTGCTGTAGTTTATATAGTTATAGAGGTTGGGATGAAACAGCCTAAGAATCTTGTATCTTTAGCTGGAATGGTTGTGCTTGTATCGACTTGTATTTTGTCTTTCAGAAGAATAGCTGCTGTAAGTCAATATTTTTGTCCCCCGCTTTTCGAAGGAAGCAGGGCCTATTAAAATGGGTATGTCTCCAGCCTTTCGAAAAAAGCAGGGGACTATTAGAATGGGTCTGTCTGTCTCCGTCCGTCTGTCCGTCACACTTTTGGGGACACAATACGCTCGTAACTCTCTTTCTAAGAGAGTTAGAATGTTCAAACTTGGTGTAGGTGCTTATTAGGTCAATGCCTTGATGGAGTTTGAAGATGAGCAGAGATAAGCAATTTGACTTGTTGATACTTTGGGGCACGATAACTTTAGTTCTAATTAAATGAGAGTGATGAAACTTAGTGTATAGTTTCATTACATCAATACCTTGAATTAGTTCGATAATGAGCATTTTATGCTCAGTGTAAGCAGATCGATAAGCAACCAATCTATGATTGTCGGTGGTACCTCGACCTCTCCCTTGACTGTCCCTGCTTGTATTCCACAGGGCTCTGTCCTCGGACCCCTCCTCTTCCTTATTTATATAAATGATATTGTTGAAAACCTTAATTCTAATGCTAGATTATTTGCAGATGATACTAGCCTGTACTTGAGAATCCATGACCCAACTGCATGCGCGGCTGTCTTAAATGAAGACCTAGATAAGCTCAATACATGGGGAAACCCACTGAAAACTGAAACACTTACAGTATCTACTAAATTGCCAACACTTTCACTAGACCACACTGCAATAAAGAAAGTATTCGAGCACAGACATTTTGGGCTGACTTTTCAAAATGTCTGTAAATTTGATAGACATATCGACAATATCTTGACGAAAACTTCTAGGCTTATAAACGTTCTCCGCTCTCTGAAGTAGACTAAATTTAATAGAATTTCTTTGAAAACATTATTCATATCCTATATTCTTCCGCATTTAGACTATTGTGAATCACTGCAACTTGACGCACTCAGGTCTATATGGGGTGCTGTTAGGGGGACCAGCCGTAGACTTTTATACGAGGAAACGGGTTTTATCACACTACAGGAGAGGCGAAGGCGTCGTAAACTTATACTCTTTTACAAAATTATGAATCATCTCGCACCACCATATCTTCACGAATGGATATGTTCCCGGAAAAGCCGTAAAATCTTCTTAAAAAATCTAATTTATCAGAGTACTTTTGCAGAACATCTTTATTTACGATTAAGGAATGGAACCGCCTGTCTGACTTTATAAAATCATCTCCCTCTATCAGTATATTTAAAAGTAAATTGAAACAACTTGACAAACAAACGCCATCATAGTCATACTTTAGTTCAGGAAAAAGAAAAAATCAGAATTTACATTGTCGACTCCCTGTATGCGCTTGCGGTCATGATTTTGAAGGTACCGAACATTACCTTTTAACCTGTACTCTACATTCCGATGCACGTAAACATTCTTTACCTTACCCCAAAACGTGATTTCAATACAGACATTATTATTTCAAGTATTATCTTTAAACAAGCCAATAGATTTCTAGACATCTCCGGAAGGTTTAATTAAAACCTTTATCTGGTAGCTAAAAATATGAATATGGCAAACCTGAAATTGTAAATATGTACATAGCCCTCCTTTTTTGTTCTTTTTATTCTTTTACTATTTAGATTTATGTTATTACATGGTTATATAGTCTTTTTGTATATATTTTGTCATATAGGATAGAGGTAATATAGACCTTGCCTGTTCCTCAATCCTTTTCTGTGAATAAAATATTGTTTATACAAAAAACAAGTTCGGTGGTGAGAATTTCCTGCAAGGGCTAAGGAGCGATAAGCAATTTGATTGGTCAAGACTATGCTTTTAATTGAGGTAGGATGTTTAAACTTAATGTAGATCTTCATTAGGTGAATGTCTTGACTGGGTTCAATGATAAACGTTTCGAGCTGAAGCTAACAGTGCTAATCAATTTCATTGGTCGATGCTTTGGGACAAGAGATGCTTTGGGACAAGATATTCTTGATTCTTTCGGATAGAGAGTGATGAAACCGAGTGTATAGTTTGATTGCTCGATACTTTTGAAAAAAATAAATGTGCGATTAATTATTATGTGTCATCTATTTATTTTGGGATTTCGACAGGGGACATCAGCCTCACTGTTGGCTTGTTCTTATACATTCGAAGCAAATGCGTGGTTAGTTTTGTGCTAGGTGTTAAAATCTGATCTATTCTAAACATCCAAGCGATGTTTGATGGGGTTCATGTATGTGCTTTGTTACCAAACTCGATATGTAGATTTCATACGGATTTCATGATGTCCATCACTGGCCTGGTTCACCGGATAAACTGTGTGTTCAATTGTTGTTATTACCATGTTGTTTAGCTATTGGGGATTTAAATTGACGTCTTTGAAATTACATTTTCTGATTTCAGATTGACAGGCATTGTATATTCTGGGCAATCTCTTCACAATTTCTTTTGGCTATCGTTTTGCTGAAGACGACGTGGGGTATCCTCACCATAACCTGGATGGCTGATAGAGTGACGTCATTTATGGAAAATGGCTATAAAGCATCGGAATTTGTTTTTGGCAAAACATATAGAGACCATATGATTATCTTACAGGTTTGTGTGTGTGCGTGTTATTTAAACATGCATTATGCAAGAGCTAAATCTGATTATTGCAAGTCTTAATTTAGGCTTCAGATGTTATAGAAATTATAAATTAGATCTTTATTTAAACAACAAGACCAAAATCAACTCTGTAGACCCACGGATGGCTCGGCTACAGCTCGGATTTGAATAGGATTTCACTAATTGATTAAATCAGATAAGGGGTAACCTGATGAAAATACGTCAGTTAGATCGAGGCTTAATGATAGAGTGTACTTAGCGAGGCCGCTGTAAAGCGTTCCGTATGCCATTAAAAACTTTACTTGATAATCGAGATATGTAGGTGGAGTTAACGCCTGTCAATCAAACGTTCGGCGAAGGTGAAGACACATTTCGCTACCATTTCTAGGCAAATATTACAACGATGATAACTATGTTCAGAATAAATTAATTTGACTGAATTTTTCAATATATTCTTCTTTCATCATCTACTTTTGAACTGTTATAGCAAGAATGACCAACTCTCTATAAATATCTCCCATAATGTATCTTTAAACACACTTTGTTGCTATTATGTTTCGATTAGTAGTGTAAAACGTGGATGGGGCACACATATTGTATAATACTAACGTAGGATAATCTATGAGATTATTAATATGGAAATATTAGCTGTGTGGACGTTTGTTGAATGGATCGAGAATCTTGGAAGCCAATGCATATAATAGTAATTGTGGAGCAAGTCATAAGCACGCGGCAAAGTTTCAAATGAACGGTCTAAAATGTTTTCTGGTTCTGAAATGGTTTTGGGTTCTATGTAAATTTGTATTTCTCGTATTTCAGGCGATGCCTCTAACGTTTTTTATCGGTGCGTTTACAGCTATTTTGTATCATTTTGGTGTCATGCAGTATATAAGTAAATCTATCGGCAGAGCCCTTTCTTCAACTCTTTGCACAAGTCCACCAGAATCGTTGAGTGTGGCAGCTAATATATTTCTTGGAGCAGTAAGTAAATATGAGACGTTTGAATAATAGCATAACCACATCGGGGCGAATTTAAGCAATGAACTTCTTAAAGGGATGCTTGTCCGGACAGCGGCTTTACTGCCGACTCCCAATAAAATTCCATCTGTCAAATATTCTTTCATGTGCATTCCGACGTGTAGACGTTACAGTTGGTATTTCATATCACCCAAAAACGCCTTTCCTTGCCAGCCAGAGGAGCCTCCTTATTGATAATTACATTTAAAGAAGCAAAATGTAAGAGCTTAATCTGCCTATTGCAGGTGTTGTTTTTTTGGCTTCAAATGTTATATAAACTATTTATTATTTAAACAGTTATTAACATGACAAGACCGTAATTGACTTTCTGTGTCTTGAATATCAAGTACCGTTGTTACGGTAATAAACAATCAATGTCACATATTGACAATGGGGATAACTTCGCTCAGAAGAAAATATTTTGCAGTATATATTTTTGAACTGTTATAGCAAGAGTGGTCAGCTCAGTATCCAAATGGTACATAACGCAGCTTTAATATTACACAATGCTGAAAATGAATAGAAAAAACCTAAACAAATCCACTCGGGATATACGCAATATTTTTAACTGCAATCTTAAATCATAATATTAAACCATTCTGTTTCTAGAGCCAAGCACTACTTGTTGTTAAACCGTATCTCCAGTACATGTCAAGATCTGAACTCTTTTCTTTAATGGTTGGTGGATTTTCATCTGTTAGTACTTCTCTGTTTGATTTATACATTAGTGTTGGGGTAAGTTATTTATGAGCGCAGTATAGTATCAACAGAAACTCTGGAAATTGCAGTAATATTAAAACAATACAACAATTCACCCAATGACTTTAATGTTAGTTCTCGTCTTTGAGACCGGCTTTAACTCTTTCCCAAATTTGAGATACACAAACTGGAAGTAGGACTTCGAATTTTGTCTAATGGTTTGGATTGTTCGTACTTGCTTTTATTTGATTTATACAAGAATACGACGTCAGAAGGATTTCCCTGTAAGACGCGATTAACCAGGTCTACCATCTATCGATCACGCCTGGAACATCGCTGAATTGTTTTTTGATGGTCGAAGTCTACCATTTTGAATGTATAGCATGATTTTGAGAGCGGAGGAATAGTGCACTGAAGTAAATATTTACTTTTTACATTCGAATTGTTGTATTTTAAAACTTGTTGTGGACGTATTCAAAGAATTGACCGAAAACCACAAAATGTCGTTTGAAGCTAAATTATGAACAAAAAATGAACAAAGGTTTTAGAATACTTTGAGTAGATATTTTTATTTAACAGTTTTGTTGTCGAAATGTCTCTAATAATCTCTGGTTTCGGTCGATATCTCTTTTTTTTTTTATCGATATCTCTTTTTAGAAAACTCATCATTTTTGGCACTTCGGTGGATACTAGACAAACCACCGTCAATAGCCAAAAAGTGTCTCTTAGGTTACTGGAACTTGCATTTAGCTTTGTTCATGCCAAATTGGATGTACATGTACATCCACGCAGGCATAACTGAAAAAATCCGCTTTTTGTTGTCATCAGCACCCTTCATATCATGCTGTTTGGCCGTGTGGAACCTATAGAGTTGGTAAATAAAGTTGATATTTACAGTGATAGCTTTAAAATGTGCATTGTAGAGTACTCCACGCCCTTAAGGTTTGGTTTTAAAATAAATTTAAAAACGTCACCATAACACTAACCTTTAATGGAAAGCGAGCCACTTAGAATTAAACCGCCCAGTTGTTCGGAAAGGAGAAAAAACACCATTGACAGCTTGACTTCAATTGCTGTCCGAGCCAAAATTTTCCTCATAGCACACTACATGGCATTGGCATGGGGCCGTCTTCATTAGCCCGGCTAGTGCAAAAAGGTAGGGTGCTAAACCCAATTTCATTCAATCATTAAGGTTCCAGCCAAACATCTATTAGCAGCTTGTATAATGTCAGCACCAGCATCGTTTGCTATATCCAAACTACTGGTACCAGAATCAAAAATGAACAAGGAAAAACAACAGAAATACAGTGACACTCTTCACTTGGAGTAAGTTATTATTACTTCATTTTAGTTATTTATTGATGTCCAGCCTTTGAGTATCATATTTGTCTGGGTATACTGGGTAACTCTACAACAGAAGGTTGTGGAACGCTGAAAATCGACAGGGTTGATCCTGTTAGGACTTAAATGCTTTAAAACAAATTTAAAATTGTTTATCCCTTAAAAACTGTAGCATCTGTCGCGTTAATTAATTGTTGACGGACGGATTGTAACCTGTCATATCGTGGGCCCAACGTATAATATCAAACATCGAATTTTGTAAAAAAAAAACAAAACTCAAAAATGCAAGTCCTTTTTATATTACTATGAAATTAATGACTGATTGAACGTACAGGCGAACGTAGAACGACAGGCTCGGCTTAACTTTATTGGGTCCTAGCGACAGGGCGAGGGTGGTAGGAGCTCACATTCAACTTTTTTTTGGATGCAACTCGTCCGTTGAATGAAGCAAATCATGGAAATGGGAATAAGAAGAAATGCTTATATCCGACAGTCTTAAGGCTTTGAAGGACTAACAGGGTGTTAATCAAAAAATAGAAGGCTTTACCCCCGTACATCTTATCAAGTCCTCCACGTAATACCCTGTATATTTCGTCACTAATTTCGATTGGTTACTGACCCAGCTAGGGACAAACACATTCCTATAGATAGAAAATATCATCGTGAATACTAAGTCTCCATCTAAAATGTCTACCTGTGCAAAGTTCAAGGTTCGTTCAATGTCGAAGTTTCCGTGGAGGTCGCCATGTTAGGTTTGTGTCACGGCCTCTGGTTGGACAACGGTATTGTCCACGTGTTTGTGGTAAAGGGAGATAACGTACCTTTAAGTTCGGGAATTTCTGACTAATCTAGCAACGATTAGATGTTGTAAAGCAAAACTCGCGGTCGTTCCTTAAGGAACATGCTGTCCGACAGCCTTTTCGCTTTAACGGACCGGGAGCCACGGTGGCTAGGTGGTTAAGACGCTGGCTCGCTAGCCTGGAGGTCGGGTGTTCGATCCCTGCATTGGCCGAGAAAGTTCATCCAGATTTTCCGACGCGGTTTCCCCTTGTCAGTGGTGCAGAACGGAGGGCCTGACAAGGACAGCTGTCTAGTCCTTCGGATGAGACGAAAAACCGAGGTCCCGTGTATACATTGGAATGCACGTAAAAGATCCCTTGGCAGTTGGAATTCGATATAAGACTAATAAGAGTAGGCGATACTGCCGCTGACCGGGAAAAACTTTCCTCATAACACGCTGTATGGCGTATGCCTGTCTTCATTAGCCCAGTGTAGTAGCAGAACAGTAGGACGTTAAACCCCATTTCATTTCATTTCATTTCGCTTTAACGGACCAAAAGGGTGCTGGTTATGATCCTTCGATCATTAATTGAACTTGGCAGATCAAGGATAGATTCGACATGTTTCTTTTCTTACGATAGTCTAACAAAATAAAATTTACAGTTCACACATTTGAAAAGTGCCAGAATTGCAAACTTAATTTTAATTGATTTTACATGTTCGCCGTCCATTTCTTGCAAGATGTGGGCGTATCTCTTATGGCAATCGTGTTTATATATAGAAATTTAATGGTGACTTTTCTGGGGCTTTATTTAATGGTGAAATTGACAACGATTGTTACATTATTATGGATGTTTACAAAAATGGAGATAAACCAGTAAATTACCGTACATGTAGGCTGTATTAGACACATCACAATGTTTATTGGTGTAGTAGCAAATATGTCTATTATAGAGTTATCTGAAATGTTGAATGTAAAATCTTTACGTGTCCAAAGATAGATTACCAGACAACGAAACATATGCCCGGAACAGATAAGTGCCCGGGCATTCCACAAGACAAAATCATCTTAAGACTGTATAATAGTATTGTTCCATTCTATGATATAATCATAGTTTCACTAATTTGAATAATGAACATTAATGTCATACAGATGTTATGTTAGCACGTGCCATCAGAGTGACAACAATATTCTACTAAGTGCAAAAAAGGGCCATAATTGAAAAAAAAACATTAGAGTGACAACAATATTCTACTAAGTGCAAAAAAGGGCCATAATTGAAAAAAAAAACATTAGTTGGATTCTTCGACTCACTATTGTAAACAACATACATCAATAAAATTATGAGCGGGGCGATGAACCTGTACAGCTTAAACATACATTATGCAAGAGCTAAATCTGTCTATTGCAGGTCTTTCTTTAGGCCTGAAATGTTATCTAAATTATAAATTAGACGTTAATTAACTTATCCAGACCATAATCAACTCTCGATGTCATCGCTAGCCTGTGATATTTACTGGATTAGGATCCGATTTGCTGCTCAACTTTCATTCATGATGAAATCTTGAAATGGATAATCAAAACTATGTTTTTTTTATCGTACCGACTTTAGTAATGTTGATCTTGGCTAGGCCGATAATTCAATCGCTAAATACCAGTTCAGAGTGGATCAATTTGACTGAAATTTTCAGAAAATCCTCTTTACATTATCTAGTTCTTAACTACTATAGTGAGAACTGTCAGCTCTTTATCTAATACTGATTTTGATTTTTTATTATTTTGTTTTACAGGAAATATAAGAATATAATAGATGCTACCTGCAAGGGAGCTCTAGACTCTGTAACCCTGTTCTGTAGTGCCATAGTAAATCTCTATGTATTTTACGCTCTTTTGCAATTAATTAATACCACATTAGCATGGTTTGGTGAACGAGTAGGAGTAGAAGGTCTGACCTTTCAGGTAGGTAAATTTGTCAGATAGAGCGAGGGGTGGAGTTTAAGGTCATCTCGGCATAAAGTAGATCTTTCCGGGACTAATATATGGTTTATTTTTAGTTCAATAATTCTCTTGCGCATACGGGCCTTTGATAGTGGGAGGAAACCGGGGGACAAATTAAAAATCACTGAACATATAGGTATGACAATTTGACTTAAATGTATAAAGCCAATAAGACCATCATTTGGAAGCACTGCTTTCAGTGACGTGGGGAGGGCTACACAACTAACGTCATTTTATCTTCAATATATTTTTAAAAGTTATCGCAGCAAAAAAGTCATTTTCCCGCATTAAAAAAAGAACTGATACCCCCTGTGTATTCTTACATTATTCAGAGTGTGCTTACTGATTACGAAACACCTGACACTACTTTACTTTTGGAACGTCCGTACCAGTTGTGAAGTCCACATTATTTCTTCTCCACTTCCTCTCTATAGTACTCTATTATATTCAGCATTGACCGCATGTGAGTTTGCAGAATACAAGAACATGGGTATACTTATCTTGTACATAATATGTCGTCGCCCTTTCACATTTGCATTTGTTGGTGGGCACTGTACAGGTTGCAAGTTTTATCTGATTTTGACGAAACTTAAAATATGACCTATGTGAGAGCGAGAAATATGTACAAAGTTTATGGACAATCCAGACATTGAACCTTTCGTGAAATATGTACAATTGACAAAATATGTGAATGATCAAAAGGTCTTGAACTTTCGGGTGGCTCCGATTTTAAGTAGAACATGGCGGCCATATAAGAGTTTAACAATAAAACAGAAAATCGAGACTGAGAATAAAGTAATTTGATTGTAATTTTTAATATATTCATTTTTCATTGTCTATTATTACAAGCATGGTCATCTTTTTAACTAAATCTTACATAACGCATCTTTAGACAATGTATATTTTAATCATTGTCAAAAAAAATGGGAAAGTTTCCAAGAAAGACATTATACACTGTTAGAAATTTTTGTAAAATTACAGTAGTACAAGTAGTTTTTGTACCTTAATTATCGGTATGTTCACCACAATGTAGTAGTTTTACCAAGTCTGGCGTATTTTAACGGAGTTTCGTGTACGTTTATAGAGTTTCGTGTCTTTTTTTACAATAGACGGTGATGAAATCAAAGACACATTCAAAATCAGTAAAAATACATTCTTACATATGTAATATTTCCAAACTGAACTCAAAATAAACAAGCTTGCATGTAATTTTACAGATCTTACGTTTATTCACATTATTTTGTAAATTTACTTTTAGGTTAGAAATATAAATAAAATTACAGCAGTTCTCACTATAATAGTTAAAAACTAGATAATGTAATGGGAATATGCTGAAAATTTCTGTTAAATTGATCCCCTCGGAACCGAGATATTAGAGACTGAATGTTAGGCCTAGCCTCAATCATCATTACTTATTAAGTCAGTACGATTCAAAAACCATAGTCTTGATTATCTATTTTTGAATTTAATCATTAATGAGCGTTGAGCCCCAGATCGGACTCAAATCCAGTGAAAATCCAACACATAAGATGGCATCCATGAGTTGATTATGGTCTTTCATGTTAATAAATGTCTAATTCATAGTTTATAGAACATATCAGGCCTAAAGAAAGACCTGCAATAGGCAGATTTAGCTCTTGCATAATGTATGTTTAACTTATTGGTAGTTATCGTATTCGGTAAATTTATTGTCTCTTAGCATGCAATTTTACAGATTTTACGTTTACTCACATTATTTTGTAAACTTTCAGGTTAGAAATATAAGTAAATTTACAGCAATTAAATTTTTACCAAAAATGTTCGGAATGTTTACCAAAATGATGTATATTTACCAAGTTTCATTCTTTTTTACAATAAACTTTGATGAAACCAAAGGCACATTAAACCCCGGTAAAAAATACATGCGTAATATTTCAATATTGAAATGAAAATAGCAAAGCCAGTAGGTAATTTTACAGATTTACGTTTATTCACATTGTTTTGTAAATTTACTTATTGGTAAATTTACTGTCTCTTATGTAAATTTACTGTCTCTTATTTTATTTTAGTATTCCATAGCAACGAACCATTCGTAATAATTATTTTCTTATAGTATTCATTCTAATTTATTAACCATAATATGGACAATCACATTTTGTGAAATTTGGTATATTGCATGTTATATATATTTAATTTTCTTTATTTATACGATCTAAAACGTGTATTATTATTCATCGTACGTTGATCAGATTGTAAGTATGTTCATTAACGTATAAAAAAAATGTTTTGCTTTCTTGTCATAGATTGTATTATCTCGTAACCAAGGTCAATTGACGGTTAATTAAACCGATTGGCCAGTGTTAGCTTGATTGTCTCTAGATCAGAGTTACAATGCCTGCAGTAGACAGTACCACAAGCTTACATCTAAAATCCTGGAACGGAAGTTAAAATCATTGTGTTTTTTTTAACATTTGTCTGCAATTTTTCATTTACTGCTTTTAGGTAAATTTACATTGGGAAGTCTAAAAACAAACTTACTGTAACCGTTCATTTACTGTGTTGCGGTGAATTTACAGTCCAAAGTTAAAAAACAAACTCATGTTATTTTCCATTTACTGTTTTAAGGTAAATTTACTCACAAAGTCAAATTACAGAAACTCTGTAATATTACAGCTGAATGTTTATTTACAGTAAATTTACTGGCAACTTTTGCTGCCAGTAATTTTCATGTAAATTTACCAGATTTTTTCTAACAGTGTAGCCTTGACCAATAGCAACACTGTTTTTAGGACTGCCTTTGTCAGCATATGATTGAAATACTAACATTTAATGGTAAATATTTTTTTTTTCAAATTTGATTTGAAGCATTGGGGCTATAGATTACCCTGTTCTCGGCCCACCTCTTCATTTCAATTCAATATTTGATCCTACAATATTTCAGTTCATAATTTCCTACTTGTTTCTCCCACTGCCATTATTGATGGGTGTCGATACGAAGGATTGTAGAGCAATAGCTAAACTAATAGTCTATAACCTAATGGGCACCAACAAATTGGCTTATATTATGTTGGGGAAGCTGAGAAACAATCATCAACAATTTCTCAACTATACATCAACTCTGGCAACCAATGCGACCTGGCATTATAACGGAGATGACATTTTCTTGACACAGTGGAACCGGACCCTTACTGATGGCATTATTTCGGTAGGTGTATCTTTTATGATCATACCCATGCTGGATAGAGAGAGAGAGAATTGGGGTTTAACGTCCACTCAACACAAACTAGGTCATTTCGGGACTAACATATGGTTTAATTTTATTTCAATAATTTGCTTGTGCGTAGGGGTCTTTAGCAGTGGGAGGACCCGAAGAAAACCCACGAGGTAGGATAGGCAATTCTACTATTTGTCACGTACAAATGCAGCATGCACGTGCTAACCATTCGGCCATTCAACACCCCTCCATGCTGAATAACTATACACAACAAAATGTCGTGCAACAGAATAATTTCCTGCTAAAGAACCATACACATAAGACGTAAAATAAAACATACGCGTAAGTTATTCCTATAACGAATTTATACGTGTTTGAAGTTTTGACCCGTCTTCATTAGCCCAATCGAAGAAGAACAATAGGACGTTAAACCTCATTTCATTTTGAGTTGTTGACAAATAGTCTCGATTGTCAAGTACCATTACTAAGATAATCATCATTTTAACGTGAAAATATTAAAATACTCGATGCTTCTAATCCATTTTATATCTCGGAGTCATCCGATGATCTAAAGAGTTGATTATAAATGAAATGAATTGAATGGGGTTTAACGTCCTACTCCGACTGGGCTAATGAAGACGGACCTACGCCATACAGTGTGCTATAAGAAAATTTTTTGCCGAGACAGCGACGTTACTACCTACTTTTATATCGAATTCCAATTGCCAAGGGTTTTTTTATGTGCACGCCAATCAGGGGACCTCAGTTTTTCTTTTCGTACCATCCGAACGATTAGACAGCTGTCCTTGTCAGGCCATCTGAGAGAGTTAGTTATGGGCGTGCCATGTGAATAAAAGGCAATATAATAATATATGAAGCCTGTAATATGACCTGCAATAGACAGATTCAGCTCTTAAAAATGTATCTTTAATTGTTATTTTAGGAACGATCAACGGTGATAGCTACGTACGCCTTTTGTGGTTTCGCTAATTTTACTGCTATGGGTATCGTGATGGGAGCCTTGATCGCATTGATACCAAAGCGGAAAGTTGTGGTGCTTAATCTTATATTAAAGGCTATGGTAGCAGGAAATATAGCATGCTACCTCACAGCTTGCATATCAGGTAATATCACACTGATCAGTAGTGAATATTCGCTAGTCCGCGACAATCACTGATAAGGATGACATCGATGCGACTTAATGAGCCACAAATATTAACTTTTTTCCTCCGTCAAATTAAATTCTAAAACATTTTTTTTTATGTATTAGAAAAATAAATAAAGACGTTTGACATATCTGTAGCTAAAAATGTTTTTCCTATTTAGTCTAAATGGATATTATAATGAGTAAAAGGCTCCATTCCGCCCGAACCACTAAGGTCTTATGTAAACAATGCATGTCAAATTAAATTCTAAAACATTTTTTTTATGTATTAGAAAAATAAATAAAGACGTTTGACGTATTTGTAGCTAAAAATTAGTTCCTATTTAGTCTAAATGGGTATTAAAATGAGTAAAAGGCTCCATTCCGCCCAAACCACTAAGGTCTTATCTAAACAATGCATGTGCAATTGAGCCAATGATTGACGCCGCGTGATGAAAAGTCACGTGTTGAAGGTAGTCATCTTTTACAGAGATATTAGAAGACGTTAGTAATCCTCTGTGAAACAGATTGAGGTAATATATGTACATACTATATATATATATATATATACAAAAGGGTAAGGATGAGTCTTATATGATCAGGTCTGAACGCATTTCGTTAAAATAACAGCATCTACGTAGAAAATATATATCGACGGAGGTAAACTTGCCACTCTAACCTAGTCATAACAGAAGCTGTCTAACATAAAATTTTTATTTTAGTGAATTTTGATATGCAGATTCTTAGAAACATTTATCCTATTCCCTTGGATCCATCTGTATCTTGGTGATAATTTTCCAAAGAAATGCAAGCGTCTAGTTTAGATATGGTAATTGCGACGTTTTCAAACCCATACTTAGATTTTAGACGGTTGATAACCATAGTTATAAGCTTGTTGTAGTGTGACGGCTGGCACTGATCACGTCACTCATTATACTTAGATAGCTCACAATTGATTATTGGTGCGCATTTCCGAAGGGCTCAAGATAAATTTTAAACTGCGAATTTCTTTACATTTTGGCGTTTAATTGGCCAAATTACCACGAATTTTACCATGGACAGCATGTAATATTTCCAAATATTTAAACAACATTATAAAAGGCATTTGTATAAATAACATACTAAATATTCAGTTTTAGTTTAAAATATGATAATTTTAATCTCCAGGAAAACATTGTAGACTAATATGTAATGCGGACTACGGTAGGATCTGTATTCAACATCCACTTAAGGGAATTTTCATGACTGACCGCTTAAATTTGTAGACTGTCAGAAAAGCTTCCCTCGAAAGATATGTTTTTGGTAGCGAGCCAACATCTTACTCAAGGAGCCACAGTGGCTCCTAGAATATAATAATATAACTGTTACATAATAATTTATTTTATTTCATGTTTTATTTCCTTCAGGGTTATTTCATGGCACTTAGAGACAGTTCCGGATTAACCATTAAGCAAACTAAACACGTGCTTAGGCACTGAATTTCTGCTTTGTTAGATGACAAATTTGAAATTAAAGTTTGATTTACAAATAAATTAAGAATTTTTAATTAGTTTTTCATTGTGTTTGTCTTTTCTCATTGTTACCTACTTTCTCTCAATAAATAACGACGTACATGAACCGCATTTTGACAAATGCAAATTTATGTTTTGGTTTATAATGGTTTATATATATATATGGGGACACCAAATTGTTTCAACTGCCTAGGATCTCAATGAGTCTTAATCCGGCTCTGTCTGACAACACACATACTGATTACCAGATTGACAGCGTTTTAGCAAAACTTGTCTCTGCCTCTAATAATGACACATTCTGGAAATACCAATAATCTGTCCCATATACATGTACCGTTATGGTGGATCAAGTATGCCTACTTACGCAGTTTTAAAGGACAATATTGGTGTCAGTCATTATAAAATGTGTGATAGAACTGGTTAAATACATCCCAAATATAATTTTAACACAGAGATCATTGCTACGGGAGATGTGTAACAAGCACGTGAAGAAACTGGAATTGACAACAGACATGACAAACACGAGTTATCCTTCTATACAACTGGATTAAGTAACGAGCGATAAAAGACACGCGATCGAATTGTTGTGTTGCCGAATAAATCACGAATTATCCGCGAATTCAAAATCCCACGTGCCCAATGTAGTGCATTCTTAACCGAATTCAACATATTTGTTAACAATTCGGCATATCCGTAACTCATTCGTCACTAAACCGCTACAAATCGTAACCCTATCTTGACATTCGGCATATTTTTCTCCAAATTTCCCACGAATTATCTTAACTCATTCGTAAACTATTCGCAATTGCTTCGTACTGTAGGTACAGTCGATTCTCCTCGATTATTTTCTCCCAAATCTCCACAAATTTCGATTCGTGGTATTCGTAGCCCACTCAAAAGCGGGACATTTATATACCCGAAAAATCGTAGCCGATTCGTAGTTGCTTTGGGATAGTTCGGGTTGGTTTCACGTATTTTAGGGACCACGAATGGTTACGATTGATTTACAATACATCTACACATTCCGAAATTCGTAGACCGACACCGAAAGTTTTTGACAAACAAAAATATTCGTGGTTGTGCTAGAACAATACGAATGTGTAAAAACAAATAAGAATCATTCACGAACCGTTTTCGATTTATCTACGAATCGGAAAAGGTTAGATTCGGGACAATTCGTGACATTCGTGGCCCACATGAAAGCCAGGCATAAGCCTGGACAAAGTTGATATTTTAGAGCAAAATGCAAATGGCGCATTGTTACTTTATGATAACAAAATCAACATACACTACAATCTAATTATCATCTAAAATAATTTCTTATACAAATATAGACCACCGGTGCTGTTGGTATAAATTACAGGTCCGTAAGTTGTACAATTTGATCCATCCAATGTGTACTTTAAACACCGTCTATCTCCTGAACAATATCTGGCACATGCTATTCTGGTTTTCACTTGTAATTCCTGTCTTGGTAAACTCAATGGGTAGGCATCGGTTGCTTCCAGTTCATAGTATATGCTCGTCTGTTCTATAGAATGATGATATAATAAGTCATAATAATATAATTTTATTATTGTCTAGAAACCTTCCAAATCTTTAACTTTGGTTTTCTCAGAAGTACAGTTTTGAGCTGTAGGTTTCTCTAATTATGAAGTTGTTTATTAGTAAAAAAAATGAGTAGAGTTTCCTGTGGCTAATTTTATAACTGAATTTACATCAACAAAATTAAACCTTTAATTGTATAAATGATTTTGAAGGTCAACCTTACCCTTTATAGTTTGGCACATATAGTTCTCTGCATTGTTACTTGAGGTTGTGTGGAAGTGGCTACCCGAGTGAATATAAACATGTTGCCCACTGCCGAAAAAGTCGACAACATCATCATACCAGTCCACCAGTTCCTCACCATTCATCCACTGATATTTACCATCAGTATCATCTCTATACAGACCTATCCACAACTCGTCATCTCTGTTTAATAAATCAACCACGAATACACTTATCTTCAATAACGCACTAACACAATAAAATGTAACTACTATTCGTGTGTCTTTCTTTTTCTGAATAAAATATTTCCAAAATGCATGTTGTAATTTTTTTATATTTGAAAACAGGTTCCTCATCAAACTAAATTCATTGCTGTGGCTCATGAGCTGTCAGTCTGTCTTGTAGAACAATGTTGTGGGGCACCAGCTGTCAGTCTGGCTGGTAGAACAATGTTTTGGGGCACGAGCTGTCAGTCTGTCTGGTATACATTGTTGTGGGGCACAAGCTGTCAGTCTGTCTGACAGACCAATATTGTGGGACACGAGATGTTTGGTAGACCAAAGTATTAGCTCTACACAGGTTATAAAATATAAAAATGATTTGTGTTATTCCACTTTCAACGCCTCACTGTTGATCATCAAAGAACAACGTCTCAGCACTGGGCTCTTGTCGGGGTTAGAGAGAAAATGGATAGAAGGAGACAAGAGAATATCTTACTTGGGTAAATCGAGTGTATCCAGGAAATCATTCAATCGGGTTTCTTCGGTTTTTGTGATAATTATTGGTAAACTACTTTTCTTTTGAAGACATCTTTGTTGAGCCGCGACAAAAGAGACCTTGTCAAAACCATACGTATAAACAGGCACTGAAATATTCAAGAGTTTAAATGTCTAATTCGAGAATTTTTAAAAATTCCTAAATCGAGAATTTAAATTTCTAATGAGGAATTTAAATTTCTGAAAACTTAAATTTCCCCTGATAAAAACTAAAAACTAAAAATGAAATAAAATGGGGTTTAACGTCCCACTATTTTGCTCCGACTGGCCTAATATAGACGGGTATACGCCATACAGTGTGCTATGAGAGAAATTTTGCCCTATGGCTTATTCTTATATCGAATTCCAACTGTCAAGGGATATTTTACGTGCACGCCAATGTGTACACGGGACCATCCGAAGGACTGGACAACTGCTCTTGTCAGGCCCTCCTTCCTGCTTCACTGGCAAGGGAGAACCACGCCGAACGACTAGACAGTTCTCCTTGTATAAAAGAAACGTACGCCGAAAGAATCGTCTTCAGCATGTAATTAAGTATTGGATAATTAGTCGATGAGTGGAGATATACATGTCCCTCATAGCCTACTACATGGCGTATGACCGTCTTCGTTAGCTCAGTCGGTGCAGAGACTTAAGGCGTTAAACCCCATTTTATTTCATTTCATTTAAATTTTCCAGTCTAGATTATGTAAAGTATATACTACCTGAACTAAAGTCTACACATATGTAATGTTTTTGCTTGCCACACAAATCAGTATTCCAGTTCATCTGATCGCTGTCTATATAGACACACTCGTTCCATCCATACGATTTTATGTCATACGGTGTAGATGGATCCTGCCAACTAGCAACGCCCATGAATGTTCCGTCAATCCATTGGTAACTATTTTCAGCATCATTAAACTGTAGACCAATCCAGAAAGAAATACTGTGATAACAAAACAATGATTTAAAGGACAATGGACACCAATTTTACATACGTGATAAAATAAGTGAATATTTTTGCTATGGTTGATCCACAACGTCAACGCAAGAGTTCCAGGTGTGACAGTATGACTGATCGAAGTACACGACCGGCATTCAATTCCCTTAAAATTAGTCTCGGGCATCTATAACCTCGTGGTCTTTGATAGATAATCAACCACACATTATAAAACTCCCGGTTACGCATAGACAATGGAATGTTTTTAGCTAAACTCAAGAATTGGTATTAATAAAAATCATATGATCCATGGAGAGAAAAATTTTACAATAAAAGAATTAGGGGTGTTTGATATTGAACAGGCAATACAGATAGATTTTCATGAAATAACAATTCTTAACTTAATTTCATGGGCGTCGATATCTTGTTTTAGAGCTATTTACCCACTTTGTTACGCTCTCTGGCTTAACAAAGTAGATTTTGTACATGATAACATAAAAGATTGGATAATCTAGCCAATGATCTAGTTATTCCCAAATGTTGACAACCCGTCCAGACTAATATAGAATATTTGTCTGAATATTGCCGCAAATCGTGTGGGTCCGTGAAAAAGATTTATAATATTGGTATTAATTAAGCTAAGTCATAATACCGGTATTAATGAAGTTAAGTCATTATATCGATATTGATGAATTTAAGGTATAATACCAGAATTATTTAAGAATTAGTCATAATATCGGTATTTATGAATCTAAATTTCATGTGTTTTTAAAAAATATATAATGTACCTATACTATATGATTTTATACTTTGTCCTAAAGAAATTATTCCGTTTTTAAAAGTTAGAGTGTACTTATGCGTATAAGGAATATGGGGCGTTTATAATTATCTTGCATTAGAAACTGGAATGGATTAACAATTTCAATTATAGGAACTAAGAATTATAAGAATCTACGTGTTTGCTGGAGAGGTTATCCATCCTTTTGCTATACTTGATTTAATAATCAATTTCTAATTTCTGCGTTACTAAGGGAAAATCGAACCACTAGCCACGTCCCCTTCCCTTCTGTCTTGGTGGTTCTGAAGATACCTACCTATTGTCCCGCGCAAAATCCATCAAAGTCTGGTAATCAGCTTCAGTTTTTGTTGTAGCTAATTCCATACCCATAACCTCACAACTTTTTTTTGCATTTGTAAATGTTAGTTGATCATCATAATAGTAGAAACGCCCATCTATTTGACTATCTACAATACATCAATATTCCTTTATATCAATATATAAATATAATTATCGAATGTCGGTTCACTTGATGTTTTCCATCCGGGTTACTTAAACATTATGTAACTGAAAGATGATTATAATACTTTTAATGAAATGCGATGGGGTTTAAACGTCCTACTGTTCTGCTCCAGCTGGGATACTTAAATGAATTGTACACCAAGGCTAAGGATAAGAAATTTGGTTTAATGTTCCTCTTTTCCCCACCTTCTGGGCTAAAGATGGCGGGCCA